TAGATACCGATATGTCTATGTCACCAAGTACCGTCATGTTAGGCAACATGTCTAGATGCACTAGGATCACCTGCAGGTATTCCTGGCTATCCTTCAGGTATCTCTCTGGCTATACTCGCCGTACAAGGTACACTCGCAAGCGTCTCTGTCTTTAAAGTCCTGATGAGATACAGTCATCGTAAAGAACATTAATTAACTGTAGTTGCTACTGTAGTATCTTTTTTTGCTGCATAAAGTTTTCTTAGTTATTTTTGTCAGGCCTTTATTTTTTGATCATTAAAACAGTCAGTGTTTTATACTAGTTGAGATGAAATGAAAAAATACTTTAGCACACCAATAATTGCTAACACCATTTGCTAATAGTAGGTGTAGCTTTGGTCAACAATTAAACTGCATGCCCACTCTTTATTAGATTCAGTTTAAACTTTTTTACGTAACATAAAGACATGGGCATATTAAAAGATCATCTTTAGTGTTGGTACATGTACATGGTCTTGGTTGTAACTCAATTGGAATTGTGCTGAGCTTGTATTAGAGCATTTTTATGAAAAGATTTCTTAATTTCTATCACAGCTAGATCTATGAACTATAACTAAAATAGATATTAACTGAGTAGAGGAAATGAGAAGCTAAAATTAATGATTGAACAGTAATGAATTAGACAGAAAATATGATCAATAGTAATTTGTTGGAAACCATTGTAATCATTATAATGATGACTCTATCATTCAGCCTATAGGTACTAATAGTGGGTCCAGTTATTGAATGTGATTGCTATTGTGTCAAAGTCTCTATTATTGGCTTGTACTAGAAGCAGTTGGTTTTTGAGAGAGTGCATGTAGTGTAAGATAGTGTTGGTGTTAAATCAATCTCTTATATTCTATTTACTGTACTGTATATTCTTGTTACTGACTGATATTATTTACATTCATGCTTTTAAATTTTTCCCAGAGCTGTCAGTACAGTTCAGGGGAAAAAGTATGGAATAAAATTTAATATAATACATGAAAAAAGGAAGAAAAATTGAGATATTCTATTTGGATAATGACATACAATATTTTTAGAACAACATGTTTACTGTTATTAATAAAAAAACTAAAAGTGACAAACAAACAAAAAATAACAATAAAAGTGAAGTCTACATAGCTCCTAAAGTGGAGGAGGTCCCAAAAGTTAAAACAAATTACCAAGAACCTCTCAACATGGCACATTATGACAGTGCAATGGTAGTAATACCAACAGTAAAAACAAAGTCAGGACAACACTTTCATCACAACAACATTCAGTTATACCTAATTACTGAAAGTGTAACTAGAAACAGTTGGTGTTTCATATTTATTTTTAAGTTGTCATAGTCCATACAATAACAATACATTATTGAACAGTTTCATGTTAACATTCTATAAATAAGTGATGACAGTAAACACTGGATAAGCCAGAGACACAGACTAGCTGTACACATAAACATGGTGAAAGGTGCTGGCATATTGCTCCTCTTGCTGTGTGCATCTTATGTTATTGGAGAAGGTAAATATGTAATAAGTATAATGATAGACTAGTTCTTATATTAGGGACCAAGGACAGCAATAACATAGAACAACAGGATAGTCACACAAAAGATGGTGAGACAACAAAGTGTATTATTTACAAGTACTGTATTCATTTATTCATGTACCTTTTATACAGAATCAGCTGCAGAAGATATGAGTTACTTCAAGGAAGGTAAGGCAGCTATCAATCAAATAAAAGTAGTTGTAATTTCTTTCTCTTCATTTAGATGATAGTGGAGAGCACGATGATGATACAACTAATGAAGAAACTGATGATCAAACTACAGATGAAGGTATGTATATAAGCAAATAAATTGTCCTATTATTACTTTCTAAACAGATTTAAGTGCTATTGACGAAGATGACACTGAAGGTATTATAATAATTATATGACATATTTAACATTTAGATTATTATAATAGAGAGTAACAGTGATGGCAATGATCATGAGCAAGAAAGTCAAGCAGCTTCTACATGCACCTACCAATGGGTCACATACACTGTAATAAAAAGCATTCCTGTCTATGGAAACATCACATACAGGCGCTGTGTTTACAGGAGAGAACCATACACTTGCATGATATACAAGAGGACTCGCTACAGGACGTATGCAAAATACTGCAACCCATGCACTGGGGTCTGCAGGAGGAGATACTACACTTACATTCATAAGCTCATGAGGTCAACGTGCTACAGGTCTGCCTGCAGGTACCCACGAAGACTATACCAATACAGATACGTCATAAGGTACCGATACCGAAGAGTGAGGCAAAGGAAATATCTTTGCGTCTGATCATGCAATAAGGAACTGGATCAGAAACTGTTTGTATATAGAACATAGTATTAGTAGGACTTGTTTTGTTAAATCTTAGACTCCTAGTTAGTTGTGTGATCATTTAGTTTTTAGTTTGATAAAATATTTTAAAAGCAAAATTAATTTTGTGCTCATTAATAGCAACAGCAGTATAATCATAAAGACACAGGCAAAAAACAATACAAAAAAGGGAGTACTTTTAAAGCAATTTTTTGGAAAAGGGTGTTTTCAGAAAATGGCATATTTTAAAATGACTATAACTCAAAAAATTGAAGTTGGAATCAGCTCAAACTTTCTACATAGCATAAGGGCATCAATATGCAACAGAAAATATAATAAAAATTGGGGTTGATTTTTGAGTCATTTTTTGGAAAAACCATGGGCTATAGTACAGGGTATTTTTCAGAAAATGGCATATTTTTAAAATGGATGTAATTAAAAAAACCAAAGTTGGAATTAGTTCAAACTTTCTATACAGCAAATAATGGAGAATATTTTTAGAAATTTAATATTATACCCTCTATCTTCTATTCATAAGTGGTCCAAAAGTTCTGTCCAAACCAAGTATTGTATGATTTTCAAAAAACTGATGTAATTGTGTTATCTAGAAGCTTTGAATGCATAAGGCAAATGGCAAGACATAGTAATTGATAGACCATAGCACACTTTAAAGGAGGAGTGTGTGCATTATGTATTGTCTATGATCATGACGTTGTTCAAGTTATGATGCATGATGTGGTCATGGATTCAATTATAAATTCATAATTAAAAGTACCTTGTTTTACTGCTGACAGCTTGAAAGCAAAGATATGCTGAAACTAGCCTAGCTATGAATGAGGTAAATAAAACATCATAGATTTATACCTGGAGTCCTGGACATGATACAATATGCATTGTCCTTTATTGTTGAATGTTAAGTCCTGGAATTAGTGCTGCTATGCATAATTGGCAAGTTAAAACACGTGGGTGTTCCTTTACCACACCCTTTTAAGGAGTGGTTTGTTACCTAGACAACTGAGACAACATTGAACATTCGCCATATATCGATCATGGGCTCTTGTTGTAGCTCATCCAGGACGAATAAAAAGACTGATGACGATGAAAATGGAGAAAGTAACAATGGACATATGGGAGTAGACTATTTTCAAAGGTAGAGCTTCATACACCCATGTATTTAATAATTAATGCACACTGTGACACCTTTTAATAATAATAGAGATGAAATTGATGTTAGTAAGTATGTGTGTCAAGAGCTTAGTAATGTCACTGTAGTCAAAGAGGCTGGAGAATTAAATGGTCAAGCATTTCATATTGAATCATGTGATGTAAGTTAGTTTCAATGTTGCGATTTGTTGTCAACTTGTCATTTTGACGCTGGTTTTGGAGATATTTCCAATATGAAATCCATAACTTTTCATCTTGTATGGTTGTACTGTTTTTAGCATGTAATTTCACCATAGAATTGTATCATATATCTATTGGATCATACTGCTGCTGTTACTATTGATCTTTGTAATGACTGTCAGATCTTTGTGGGCCCCTGCAAAGGAAGGTATGCTTATCTCTAGAGAATCTATATCTTTCATCTCTTTGATGTAGTGTATTTGTGAGAGAATCCAAGAGGTGTCATATCATGGCTTCTTGTCAACAATTTCGTGCTCGAGATACTGTCCAGTCCACCTTTCAGTTGCACTGTACCACACAACCTGTCATTGAGAATTGCTCTAGCATTAAGTTTTGCTGCTTTAGTGGTTTCTATCCTCAATTGAAAGGTTTAATATTTGTATGATTTTTGACTCTAACCTATATGCTTTTTGCTTTCTCTCTGCCTCTCTTTCTCTCTCTCCATTAGACCATCTGACAGTTGCTGGTTTAAGTCCACTCAATAACAATTGGTACTCAGTCCATGATTTCACTCCTCAGAGTGGAAACTGGGTCACTTTAAAACGAGTGAGTATTATTAAGAATGTCAATGAGGTTGTGCATGATACTCATGATAGCATCATTCCATCAGTAACCTGAGAAAGTCAAAACATTTTCTGATGCATATTTTTATGTTGTTCATCAGTTCATTACCATCAAAATTGTTTTTTAACTCGCTTCAAAAATTTGTTCAAAGATAGTACATAATATTTTTTTATTAAAAATAGCATTATATTTTTTGAAACATTAATATTGTATTATATAGGAAGAGAATTTGCCGTCTTTTGGATCGGATCAAGTTTCAAGCACATCATTTCAGTCAAACTGCAGCAGTAGAGTTGTACCCAGGACTCTGGGGATTAAATTTCAAGATGAATACACAAAAGTGAGTTACACCCCACATGATAGCCAATTGATACTGTCCTTTGTTTATTGCAGACTAGTGTAGTTGTATTCTTGGAAGACTCTGAGCATACAAGAGCATTAAAGTTTATAGAAAATGTCAAAGAAAAAGTATGCTGTTGATAACAAAGATGTTAAAGCTCCTTCCCTTTAGCTCTCACTTCTCATTACAAAAGACACAAAAATGAAAACAAATGGCCTGCAGCAATTCTTTTTAAACAATGCTGCTGCACCCCCTGATCTTAGAGATGGTACAACTGATCATTCATTTAATTGATAACATTATGATACCCATTTTTATGCAGGAATGCAGATTGAGTATTTACTGTTAGCCGGTGATCAATGCATTCAAATCTGCTCTCAAGCATTACAGGAAGACCCTATGAACACTACTTTGAATTCTTACTGCTCACCAAATGAGAGTCAAGCCTGGACAGATTATCAGAAGCTGTCTCATCTCATAGACAGTGGAATCATGAATAGCTGAATGAAAGAAAATCATTTTTAAAAATTTAATTATTATTATCTACTTAATAACTTCTTGTCAAAATTTAATAACTGATGACCACGCCTACTTAGAAACTCTCTCGAATCTCCATCATGAAGGTCCTCTTGTTCGTTTTATTTTCTTTCTTTGCCCCCTCTCTCTCAAGTCCCCTTACATGGAGGCTGGTATCTGACTCTGGACCCAAAGGCTTTGGGACCGCAATGGTGTACGACAACTCGAGCAACTCCCTCATCCTCTTTGGAAGCTTGACCGGCCCAAATGCCACCTCATCGGGTCCAGAAACCTGGCGCTATGACCTCAGCGATGGAACATGGAGCATCATACATGATGGAAGCGGCACAGTACCAGCCAACCGACGTTTTGCTTACTTTGGTCTAGTCAGAGTGAACGGGGTGAGCTTGTTTGTACTCAGCCACGGGCACCTGGGAGTGCTGGAGTATGATGACACGTGGGTCTTCTCCCTTGATGATTATACCTGGAGGACTCCATCTGTGACTGGAAATCCTCCAGGTACACGCTACGGCGGGCACTTTGGAGCTTGGGATAACGTTTTCTGGATGGGATCGGGTTTCACAAAGATCACCTCCATCCCATCACGTTACATTGACACGTTCAGACTGACGTTCACTGATACTAATACGGCAAGCTGGGAGACAGTCCACGATCAGCCTACTTCCGGTAATCAGTTTAATCCTCTTGTGCCTCACGGGAGGTGCCTCCAGGGATCTTCGGTCGTTGATGAAAACACTCTCGTCATGTTTGGCGGTTGCATGAGGTAATGTCAGTAAAATAACGTATGCAAAATGATTTTCTTTATTTGCTGGCTATTAAGGTTTTCTTTAATGAAGTACTTGTATGTATATAAAATGTTTTCTTTATTGTAAGACTTTTCTCATGCTACAAGCAATCTTGTGTACATGTGATGTCGAGAGACACTTTAACGTAAAAACTTTATGCAAAATTTAACTCAGACATTAAATGGACTTTGAACTGGCAAAATTAAAATTAAATTACTTATTAATTATTATCTTTGCTACAGTAATTGATACAGGACTATGTGTACATGTATATATTTTGTGTAGGGGTGGAAATGGTGGTGGTCCCTGTCCAGCTGAAGACGGGTGGGTATTTGACAATAGGGATAAAAAATGGACAGAGCTACCACGGTGTGCTACACCCCGTATATGGAGTGCTATGGCCCCATTGAGCAATGAAACTGGAAAGGCAGTCCTGTATGGAGGATCTGATACCTGGACTGATCAAGTTATTTCTGTAAGAGAAAGAGAGAGAGAGGTTCACAATTTATAATGTTATATGTACATGTATCCAGGACACTCCTTGGCCTGAAAATGAAGTCCTTGTTGTTGATACTGATAACAAAGATTGGACTAGATATCTTGTGAGGGTTAGTTACCATCAGTCATTGTAACGTGCTAATCATCAGTTTTAATTCATTGCTTATTGTCTGTCCTTAGGCTGAGTCCAATGTGTATCCTCAAAGACGTTATAGGCATGCAATGGCTGCTGGAAATAATGGAAGAGTTTACATGTTTGGAGGGAGTCTTATGTCAAAGTATGTTTTTTAAGAATAGTTTGTTTAAATGCATGGGCATTGGGTAGTATTCTATTATCTTGATGGGTGAGAGTCATTATACTGATTAGCATACCTTGGTCTCCATATCATCCACTAATTGATAGTGTGAAATGTAAGGAATTGAGTTAATTGGCAGATCAAGGTTTTGCTTTTTAGAAGGTATTAATTCATCTCTCTCTCTCTTAGTGATTCTCAGCTAAATGATTTATGGCTATTGGAAGGAGACGTATCACTGACAATGACAACAGGCTGTGACAGGGTTTGGTTTGCTTACACTCATCTTCACGGTCTCTTTATGATCATTGCTTTTGGGATCTTGTTTCCAACTGGTGCATTCATAGCTAGGTACTATCGCTGCAAGGGAAAGAAGATCTGGTTCATAGCTCATGTTACAGTCCAGGTATGACATGATAGAGACCATCATGTGAACTGCATGTTTAAAAATTCATTAAAATCCAATTTTGATTGGAACCAGCTCAAACTTTCTACACAACATAAGTGCATGTATATATTTGGAAAAAAATGGAGGATTCTCACTTAGCCATTTTTGGCAAAATTTGGTCTAAGATTTGTAACTATATACAGGGACTTTGGGTTGATTTTTGAGCAACTTTATAAATTCATAAAAATTAGCTATAATCTTTCCAAATCGGTGTATAACGTACATACTTGTATAATTACCTATAGATAACTGCAGTGGTATTCACCATTCCTGCCTTTGTCATGATATTTCCAACTGGTGCCAGTCTTGAGCCAACTCATCCTCATGCCATCATTGGGATCATACTAATGACAATCATGATTGTCCAGCCAATTAATGGAATACTGTGAGTATCCACACACTTTCTCTCACTCATGTACATGTACACACTTCTCTCTCTCTCTCTCTTAGTCGTCCACATATTAAAGAAGGTATTGAGAAGAGCAAGTATCGTATATGTTGGGAGTGGTTTCACAGGATTTGGGGTGCATCCACAATTATCCTCGGACTCATTCAAGTTACGCTTGGCGTCTTCCTCATAGTCCCTCCGATGGGCGTGTGGATTGTTTGGATACTCATGCTGTGTGGTTGGGTGGCTGCTTTTATTGTCCACGAGGTCATCAAGGTAGTGTGTATGTGCAAGGACAAAAATGATGCCGACGAGGAGTTTGAAATGAAGTCCAAGCATCCTTAATTGACACTAGTTCTCTCTTCCAGTGGCTCTTTACACTCTATGGTTATTATTTTGACTCATTGTTATAGTGTTCCTCCACTCACTGATCAATGTTATCCCTTTCTCTCTAGGCAGCTTTATTTCACCAGGATTTCATTATCAATTTTTAAAGATTTTAAATTTTATCTCAGTTTTATCTCAGTTTTCCTTCATTTTAAATTTTAAAACACTTATTTGCTAGATGCATAAACAAACAAACTCCTTATAATGAGATGCAACAATTAATGAAAAATATAGGATTAATTTTTGTTACATGATAATTAAATAAATGTAGCCTTCTTAAAATACCCTTTCACAATCACACTCACATTAACTGCTAGCCAATGACTCAGTATTGTCTCAGTGTATGCTGACAGGAAGTACAGGCTGGGTGCTTGGGATCGGTATGCTGTGAGATTGATCCAAAACGTCACAGTGATATTATTTGCTTTCTTTTGTATTATGACTTCATCGACTCCAGGGAAAGTCCCCATTATTAGTTTACGAATGTAAAGGTCCTGAAGTAATGGGGTTTGGTCCTTTTGTATGGAACCTCTTGACGGCCAACTGTGTGTTACGCCTAACGTGTATGCTTTCTTTCGTCTGAATGTAAAAAACAAAATTTTTACACAATAGTATTTTAGCCACACCCATATCATGCCCAGCCCCGCCCTTTAGCTAAAATTACCTTTCCTTGTTTCCAGGTTGTAGCATGAAAGAGGCTGTGTGGATTTTCCTGGTTCTCATTATTGTCCAGGGGGAACTAGAGACTCCAACATGCCTGACTAGGAAGACAGAACGACCCAAAGAGACAGCGGCCATTTTATTAAAGTAAGAATATACGAATCGGACCCGTGTGACGGAGAAGTCCAATAGATCATTCCGTATATTCTTCAATTCATTATGTCTCTACAGTCCATTGTCTTCGACAAAGAGGAAGGGAAACTCTCCATACTTAATCAGCTCCTGCTACCAGATGTATCGTTATATGAGGAAATAAATACTGTACAAGATGCATGGGATGCCATCAAAAACATGAAGGTTAGTGTGGGGGTTTTTTTTAGCTCCCCCCAATTTTCACCTCAATTTTCACACTTCGATAAATGCATGAGCTCCACCCATGTGTGTAATCAAATCCTCTTTTATTTTTATCTTTTTTACTAGACAAGAGGAGCACCAGCTATTGCTATAGTCGGTGCACTGAGTATTGCTGTTGAATTGAAGAAAAGGAATTTTCTTTCTCTCTCTGAACTTTCTTCTTTTGTGAACGAGTCCTTCAGCTACCTCCAGTCAGCTCGACCAACTGCAGTCAATATCACCGAAGCAGCTAAAAGGTTCTCGGAGATCACGCAAGGTCTAGTTGAGAGAATTAAAGATCCGAAAAAAGCTTGTGACATACTTTACAAAAACCTTTATGAAATGCTCCAAGAAGACATCAGTACTAATACTAGCATAGGACGGAATGGAGCAGAACACATACTAACTCAATACAGTGGAGGGGATGTGACTATACTCACTCATTGCAATACAGGATCATTAGCATGTGCAGGGTATGGTACAGCACTGGGTGTCATTAGGAGCCTACAAGAGAAAGGACGTCTCAAACAAGTATACTGTACAGAAACTAGACCATACAATCAAGGATCAAGACTAACAGCGTATGAGCTAGTCACTGAGGGTATCCCTGGTACACTCATCTGCGACTCAATGGCTGCTTGCCTCATGAAAGAGAGGCACGTGTCTGCTGTTGTCGTGGGTGCAGACAGAGTCGTTGCTAATGGAGACACTGCTAATAAGATAGGGACCTACCAATTGGCAGTGGTCGCCCGCTATCATGGGATACCATTCTATATAGCAGCACCTTTCACTACAATTGACTTTAGTATTTCGTCTGGGTCTGAGATAGTCATCGAAGAGCGAAAGAAAGAAGAGATGATTTGTTTTGCTGGCAAGAGGATTGCGCCCGAGGGGATCAATTGTTGGAATCCTGCTTTTGATGTGACACCAGGAGAACTGATCACTGGAGGCATTATAACTGAAAGAGGAGTCTTCACTCCTACTGAACTGATCAATCAGAAAAAATAATATTGATTTATCATAATAATTATTATTCATTTCATTAATTGTATATTACACATAATTACTTTTTACAAATGTTCCTGTCCATCCATATTTTCACAGTCCCTGGTTTAGCTTTTCTTAATAGCTGCACAAATGGTAATGATGAGTTGTGTTTGTCTTTGGATTCAATAACATGAGCCAAATGGCACTTGTCTTTACCAGTAATGATCATACCAATTCTTCTTGCCTTTACTAGCCTCTCCATAGATAATGTCACACGCTCTTTGACCTTTATTGGGTAGTCCAAGGGTAACTTAACAAATTTAACAGTCTCATTATTATCAAAAGGGGAAAATGAACTATTGACACTATCAGGAAAGAGAGAGGCTGTATGACCATCTTTGCCCACTCCTAGCAAAACGTAGTCAAAATAATTAATGGAAGCATACTCGTTAAGGACACTCTCTGATTTATGACAGACTGGGAAAAGTGGATGAATATTGACATATGGAACACCAACCTGTGCCAATAAAGTTTTAGACAATTGAAACAAGTTGCTGTCTCTTGATGTAATGGGTACGCATCTTTCATCGGTCTGCCATATTGAAGTATGCGTCCATGGAAAACTGTGCTTATAATCTACAACTAGGGATTGATAAACATCTGCTGGTGAGGATCCTCCTGGTAATGCAAGGTGGAAGCTATCTCGTGCTTGTACAGAGGTAATGGCTGTGTCTAGTATATCTTGGCTGATTTCACGAGCAAGTGATGATCTTGAGAATTTATAAAGAAAATGACCAAATATCTTCTCTTTTATTTTTTCTACTGTCTTATTACCACTTTTAAAGCTAATTCCATCCTTTTCAAAGCTCACCAAATTGTCTTGAGGATCACTGGAGTTAACAAACACAGTTAGTGTACTACCATTTAGTGTCAATCGAAGATTGTCAAGGAAGCTTTTATTGTATATCATCAAGTGTTCTCCTTTTCCCTCTTCATACTCTAGCAATAAAGAAGACCATATTCTCCATGATTCCAATACATTGCTCAGTGGTACAAATAAATCACTCTCTCCTCGAATCAAACTCCTTAAAACTGAAGCATATGTCTCCTTTAGTGCCATGCGTCCTAATGGTATTGTCTTCATGGAACTGCAACTTGTCCCATCTCCTTCATTATAGGTCCAGGTTTTGTCATTTGGTAGATTAAAGTTGTGATTAGAGGGCAAAGTAATGAAAGATGATCCATTGCTGTCTTGTATTGTGAAAACTATATCATCGCAATAGCCATTTTTCTTCCTCAAGGAAACATGCCGTGTCTTTTTAAAAACAACCTTGGCAATCGTCTCCCTCTTTCCTAGTTTCTTACCAGAAACCATAATGACAGGTATGTTAAACCATACCGGTGATTGGAGGTGAAGCACCACTATTGCAAGTGTTGGTGTGGTACTGATATTCACATGAGCATTTCCTCCTTTGTCGCTTTCCAGGTCATCTTGGTAACCGGAATACTGTCCAAACACAGCACTCTGGAGAAAGGGTGGGTATATTGATTTAAGTATATCAAATTTGGCAGCATTTAGATCAAACGGTCTATTAGAAGGAGAAGTTAAATTACTCAAATCAAGAGTTAACAGTGTTAATATCTCAGTGAGATGATTCTGTATCATATCACGAATCACGCCATACTGATCATAATAGTCTGTTCTACCTCTGACGTCAATACTTTCACTTGAAATTATTTCAATGTGATCAATGAGGCCTGCAGACGAATATAGCAATGGATTAGATCTACAAAACTCTACTATCTGAGATACTCCTGGTTTGTGAAGATAATGGTCTATGAGAAAAACTTCTTTGCTGTTGAGGTTACCAAGTATCGAGTCTGCTAGCTCTATGGCTGAGGAAAGGTCCTTGCCAAAAGGTTTCTCGATCGCAACTCTGAGCTTTGTATAAGAGGACATAGGGCGAGAGTAATTATGAATATAACGAGAGATGGAAGAGTACGCAAAAGGTGGAACAGAGAGGTAGAATATACGTGCCTCTTCAGCCAAACCCCTCTCATTTAACAGTGCCTCTATTTGTTGTTGAAGGCTGCCATAGCTCTCAGGATCATTCAATTGGACTGGAATGATGCTGTTAAATAGCTTGTCATTTAGCTCCCAGCATTGTCTGGTGCTGATATCCCACTCTTCAGGACATACCAGTTTTTCAAAGTAGCTGTACAGGAAGTCCTTTGTCTTCTCTGGGGGGTTCCTTGTACCAGCAAAAAGGAGGAGTGAAGAAAGAGGAGTTAGGTCTTGGTGGACCAGTTCTCTAAGTGAAGGCCATATTTTTCTCTTGGCGAGATCCCCATTGGCTCCAATCACTATTAAAGAGACTCCGTTAAGCTTTTGCTCAGTACTACTACTACTACAGGTATCCACCACAAGTAAAAGAAACAGAAACACCATCACAGGTCCCTTCATTGCGGCCATTTATTGATGAATAAAATTAAAATGATTTAATTTTTATTCATTTTCATGTTTTTCTAGCTCCCAAGGGACCAGCCCCACCCTCAACAGGAATGGATGATAGCTCTGCTTCTCCTGTCTTCCCCACTAAAGCGGATTTGGATGAGATACACTTACAATATGTAGTAGCTTTCATTGTAATCGTCATCCTAGTGGGGCTTGCTATGCTTCTGGTCTGCTTTGGACTTGGGTATATTTTCTGCTCCAGAAAAAAAAGGTAGATACTAAATAGATCTACTGAGTGCATCCACATTCAAATATAAAGCACCACTAGTACACAAGTGTAGTGTTAATTAAATTGACTGCTTGCTTATTTTTAGTTTTAATCCCTCAAAGCATCAACATTATATTGGTGCTGGGGATTCCAAAGAGCTCTCCTGTGGACAAGTCAAACTACGTGAATTTGCAGGTAGTAAACAAAATACTCACACTGCAGCTACCAATGGCAGCCATGGACCAACTGAGGAGCCACATGAACAGCAGTAAGCTACTCTAATAAGCTCATTGTCCTTTTATTGTTTATAAGGCCAAAGAAGCCATCTCCACCACAATATCAATATCCAATGCATTTACTGGATGAAGAGAACGAGGAGAGAGTTGAGTCATAGTAACTAATTATTTGCTTAATTAGTGTTGGTTTAAATTACAACTGTAACAATAATTTTTAATACACACAAAAAACGTAATTTTCTTGTTATGAATGATAATTAAGTCTTTTTGGATACACCTATTGAAATAATAAAAATAAAAAAATGTGAATTACAATGAGGATATTCTTAGTTATATATTATACCTGTTGCTTGTATCTTGCATTTGAATGTATCACTCCATGGTCCTTCACCAATAGCATTGGAGCATCTAACACGAAAGTAATAGGTTGCACCTCCCACTACACCAGAGTATGTGAAACTGTTTGCTGGTCCAGCATATATTTCTTCAAACTTGTATCCTTTATTGCACTGCCCTATGTTGACCCCATCATTATTATCAGGCTCTGTGGATATGTTTGTGCTACTACTGGAGCAGCTATTGCTCTGAGAGTTGGTTGCTGTCATTGCATTGCTCGGGGCTACATGGATCAGGTGTGATGCTTCCTCTGTTTCTGCACTGCCATTAGACATGCATTGTGGATCATCAGTCTCAGAGTCTGAGGGACTCTCTGGATCATCCTCAGTAGTTTTTGTTAGCAGAGCAGGCAGTTTTAGAAGAGCACCTGAAGCTCGAGCAGCTGCTGTGGATTGTGCTAGTTTCACAGACTGAGGCTTTAGGACTGGTTGCCCTTTAACCTGCTGCATTACTGGAGTGCTAGGGTTAGATCCTTCTGGTAAGACTTGTGAGTCCCCATTATTTGGTAGGAGTTGTTGCTGCTGCTTTAATATTGATACATTTTGATTACTACTAGATCTCATTGATAGCGGTATCAATGGTAGTCGTCCATTACTGGTCTGGGACATTGTATCACTGCTGCAATCTTGGTATCCACTGTCATGTGACGAGAGGCCTGGCGAATTTGATTTGACATTCAACAATCGTCGGTTGTGAAAGTTTTGAAGTTTCTCTCTCTTAAATTTTAATGGAACATCAGCAAAGCAGTGGAGGGAGAAACTTCGAGTCCTATCATCCGTCACTTCAAGGCTTTGATCAGGAACTTCCCATCTTATTGTAATGGACTTGGAATGTATTTTGGCTTCAGTTATGAGGAGTCTCTCAGGAAGTTGGAGTATTATTCCATGTTGATTTAAAACTTGCTGTAGTTTTGACGTTATCTCTTGTTTCGGACGCAGACCAAGTGGTATGAGCTGTATGCTATTCCTTGAGTCATCTCCAACATCAGGAAATAATGAGGTTTGCTTCAAAGTAGAATCCAACGCATTGTCGACATGCTTTCGAGCGAGTATAGCAGATATAGAATTGAGATCTAACAGTTTTGTAACTAAATGTAAAGATTTAATAAATTATAATTTTAATTTTGTTGATGTTAAATCATTAGTACCTTCTTCCTTTGCTGCTATTGCTCTTGATCTAGCTGATGCTAGTTCTAGTCTTTGTTCCTCAAGTATCATCTCCTGCACTTCTACTTGTCTGTCAAGAAGACAAAGCAATGTTGCTTCACGATGCTCTAAGGCAGCCATTGTCTCCTTCCTTGTTTCTATATAAAACACAACTTTATGATCACATTTCTTTTACACATGAGTGCATTCATACCTGCAAAGTGTTTCTCTAGTTTTTCTTGTGCTTCCATTGCTTTGTTTCTAATGTCTTCCTTTAAATTCGATTGTGTTTGGGCTACCTGTGACAGTCTCTCTTCCATCTTATTAATCTCAGTCAGTTTCATTGACAGTGTGTTCCTATAGGCTGAGGCAGAATTGTTCAGCAACTGATAGTTATGGAACTTGTGCTCTCCATAAAATTTACATAGAACACACATGGGCAGGTGCTCCGTTTCGCAGTACAACACGCAACTCTGTCCTGGATGCTTTTTGCACGTTGGTTGAGGTTTCGGTTTAAGACTAATGGGAATTGGTTTGTGTCTAGCTCGTACCTTTGATCCTGTGTGCTGCTGTTTATTGCATGCCTCACAATATGATGCAGAGCATTCACTGCAGTACTTCACAGCAAGGTTTCGCTCACATTCAGCACAACGGTCACTCTGAGAGCTACCAATTGTAGTAATGAACTCTTTGCTCTCAATAAGATCTAAAATTGCTTCGTTCCTTACAAAATCCTCAACTCTGCTCTGAGGCTCAACTGGAGTCTTAATGAAGCAGTATCCACATTTTAGAGATGGTGGATCAAATTTGAGAGCTTGCTCAATACAACTGCTGCAGAACGTGTGTCCACAGAGCAAGAGGTAAGGAACGTGGACAATGCTCCTATACTTTGAGTTGCATGTTGGGCAAGCAGTCACAGGTCCTTGAGGCTCATCATCACTTTTATTAATCCTCATTAGGTAGGAGGTTCCTTCATTGTTGTCTAAACTGCTTTGCTCGCAAGGCTGAAGATCAGGTGGCTGATGATGACTTGTGGTCCTGCTAGCAAAGTTTGATCTGAATGAAGTTACTAGATCTCTTGGTGTGAATGGGTCGACTCTAGTTGGTTGGAAGTTATCCTTGAGTCTTCCATCAGGTCTTCCATATCCTCTTGAGCCTCCTCGAGACTGACCTGGAGTGAAAATATTCGTGATAATTAAATACAATGCTATGACTTAGACAAAACAAAGAATATATAAACATAGCTTCAAGCAATGCAAATTCCCACACACATTATTTTATGCACCTTGATTAAGACCAACTTTCCCACTGTAGCGAGACATTTGACTCATCGGTCTCTTGGACCTTTGGCTGTCAGGACGAGAATGGCCTCCCCCTCCATTTCTGGCAATCAATGAGCCACTGTTACCAGACTCCTGTCTGCCATAGTTAGTCGATTGTGACGAGTCTCCAAAGGTCTGACTATTGTTGAGTGAGTTGCTTTGGTGTGATGGTTGATGTCTCCTCTGTCCCTGCTCACTCTCACCAGGAACTATTGAAATATAATATACAGTACACCACACAATATGTAATTAGAGTAGGTACTGAATTACTTTGATTCTACAAGTCATGTACTGTAGTGTAGTAACTTACCAACTCTCTTTGGAGTCACTTTGGATGACTTCCCACCCATTTGATGTGATCTTTCCTAGTTAGAGCCCGAGGCCAGTTCTCTTCTGTCCTGCGTAGCTCTCCAACTCACTGTAGGTCCAGTCGGCTACCATGGATACCTGGGAAAAATAAAACATGACTTGCATGCAGTGAATATCATTGAGAATATTGTTTAAAATTTAACGCCCACTCAAAAAGGTGGGGCTCAAAAAAAAATAAGAAGGCGTGGTCAACCCGCCTATTAATTCATCATGGCTTTTTCCAACATCTTCCGTCTTGTCTCTTTCCCTCTCGTTTCTGTTGGCTCTAGGGAAGGACTAGGCCACATCAGAGTATATTGTAGCAGTGCTCCACCTATTAAACCTAAAAGAGGTAGGAGGTTCCTAAAAAGAACATTAATAGCTCTACTCCTCGGCACTGCCGGGTACTACTCCATCAAGGCACTGGAGAAGGCATCCCGTCCCGTTTATCCTAAAGATCAGAGAAAGAAAGTGGTACTATTGGGCTCGGGATGGGGTGCAATGAGCGTACTCAATCACCTCCAGCCCGATCAGTTTGATATCACCATCGTCTCCCCTCGTAACTACTTCCTCTTTACTCCAATCCTCCCCAGTGTCACAGTAGGCACTGTTGAATCACGGAGCATAGTCGAACCCGTCCGGAAACTAATCCTTAAGTATCACGGCTGTGACCAGGTCCAGTATTACGAAGCGGAGTGCATTGACGTGGATCACAAAGGAAAGCGGATACATTGTCGAGACGTGTCTGGCATTCAAGGAACCGTCTCGGAATTTGATCTTGATTATGATATATTAGTGGTTTCAGTTGGAGCAGATAATAATACTTTCAATGTACCAGGAGTTAACGAGAACTGCTACTTTCTCAAGGAAATGAACGATGCCAGGACGATAAGAAATGCTGTAGTTGATCTTGTTGAGTCGGCCTCTTTCCCAGGGCAACCCGAGGAGGAGATGAAGCGCCTGTTACGTTTTGTTGTGGTAGGAGGAGGCCCAACCGGAGTGGAGTTTGCATCGGAACTGAGGGACTTCTTACGTGAGGACATACCAAAGATATACAGTAATATCAAGGATCACTTTGAGGTATTATAGTCTATTGCATCCAGTGTGTGCTCTATATATAACCTTGTCTTGTGTACTGTATATGTGACATTATGTGTGAGGGCCAGACCGAGTGTCATTTGATGGTTTATTGTAATTACAGTAACAGTACATTGTGTATGATTAGTATTTGATAGCTGTAATGATAGTGTTACTAAGTTTGTTGTTTGTGGGATTGGGTGTTGTTACACTGCTGTTTCACAGCAACAGGTGTTATGCCAGTTAGTACCAGCTGTCTGTTGTTTATTGTATATTGAACAAAAAAGTTTGCTTTGACTCAGGGCTTCCCACAGGATTTTGGCATAATGCTCATGAAGCTTCTTGTCAGTAGTAGACTCCAAGTTGCTCAAAAATTGGACCAAGGACCCTGTACTACATGTAGATGTATGTTCATAAAAATCACAAGGAGAGAATTCTTCATTTTTATAATTTTTCCTGATGCATATACATCTTTGTATGTTGTGTAGAAAGTTTGAGCTGATTCCAATCAAAATTCAAAATTTTAAAGTTGCTCCAAATGCTGTTTAATATTTCATGGAAAACCCTGCTTTGACTATCAAGCATGATGCCATTAGATTTCTTTGATTCCGAGTAATGTTATTGTTTTAAGGTGATGCTAATTCAAAGCGGTGATCACATTCTTAACACATACGATGAGCAGATCAGTGATTTCACTGAACAAAACTTCAACCGAAATCATCACAATGTTGAGATACTGACAGGAACCAGGTCAGTGTAAATGGTTAAAATGTGTGGCTGCTTACCATCAAACTCTATAACTATATATTAGAGTGATAGGAGTTGAACATGATAAAGTAAAGGTACTTGATAAATCATCAGACCAGAAGAGCACTATACCTTGTGGTATGTGTGTCTGGTCCACTGGTGTTGCTCCTAAACAACTGACAAGACAAATGATGCTCAAGATACAAAATCAGAAGAGAGGGTAGAGTGAACTTGATCAACATTATTATTTAATTATTTTTTAGGAAAGCTCTTTTAACTGATGAGTATTTGAGGGTAAAAGGAGCTGAGGGTATTTTTGCAATAGGAGACTGCTCTACTATAGAACAGAACCTTATGCTAGAGAAGGCTCAGCAACTCTTTGAAATGGCTGATGTTAACAAAGATGGACAGCTCACTCTGGATGAGTTTGTGGGCCTCATTGAGAAAGCTAAGCATAAGTTTCCACAGATACAACTGTTCTTTAGTAAAGCAGAGAAAAATGTCAAAAAGTAAGAATGAAAAGTAGCTCAAAAAAAGCAATTTTTGATTGTGTCTTGATCTCTAATTTTTTTTATCTGTTAGACTTTTTGCTGAAATGGACACAAGTGGAGACCAGGCCCTTGATATTGGTGAGTTTAAGAACCTGCTCCGTACCCTTGACCACGAACTTAAGAGTCTACCAGCAACTGCACAAGTGGCATCACAGCAAGGGAAATATTTAGGTATAGAATGAGGCTCATAAATAATGAATGAAAGGATTTCTGTAGGTAAACTACTCAGTAAGACTAATGCTAATCCTGAGTTACTGAGAGATCCCACTGATGCACTGAAGAGCAGAGGTGTATACCAGTTCCATTACAGGCACTTGGGATCATTTGCTTATGTTGGCGACAATAAAGCAGTCCTGGAGGTACCAGTATTTGGTAAGACTGACTGACAGTAATATAGTTCTATCTATTTAATTCTATTGTTCTACTATTCTGATTTGTAGGTGCATTGAATGGTTGGTGGGTGATGTGGCTGTGGAGGGCAGCATATGCCAGTGAATGTGCTTCAACTCGCACTAAAGTACTGCTAGTCACTGACTGGATCAAGTCTTATATCTTTGGAAGAGATACTTCAAGAATTTAAACCAGCTGTACAATATACACATTTTTATTTTCTATTTTTATAAGGAGCAACTCTTTTTTATTAGCCATCATATAGGACTGCTTTTAAATCAGTTGACAGTTTTACACTTTTCTACAATCAATTTTTCAAACTCAATGTAATAATTTTTTATAAAATAATAATAATAAATATAATACATTATTATTTTTTCTTGCTTTTTTCCTCTCCATTGACTTTGTCAATAAGTTTCTTTGCTAATTTCATTAGTTTCTCTCTCTCTTTATCATCCTTTACAACTGGTATCCAGTAGTTAACACAACTTGAGAGAGTATTCCTCAGTTTCCCTGTAGTTATTGCTTCATGCAAGAAGGTGTGTATCAGAGGAGGCTTGTAATGCTCCAGCTTAAACTCTCCTAGACATTTGAGTATTCTTGTCACACGAAGATAATTGTGTCCTGATTCATTGAGGTTTCTAAACCGTTCTTCCCATCTATCAGATCTCTCCACCTTTCCTAAAGCAATACTGAGTATAATACCGTAAATAATGTGTGTGTGTGTGTGTGTGTGTGCAGGGCATCTCAAACCTGTTTCCTTGTTCACAAGTTTCAAGCCATAAAAGTCAAGCATCATTTCGTATGATTTAACAACTCTGTTTAAAGCATCTTTGTCATCACATATCGACTATATTAAATTCAATACCATATAGTTAGCATAACAACATAGATATTATGATAACAATTACCTCGATCTCATGCAGCTGGAGTTCCTGTGCATGCCAATTCAATCCTCTCTCTCTGATAGGAAAGAGCCTACAAAATGTGTTGTCAGTTTACTTTTTACTTTGAACAAGGCTTAACATAACCCATTAATTTATAAAGAACATCAATTTATTTTTAATAAAAAATGCACAGTGTTCACACCTTGAGGAGTGTGAACAAGTTTTCAAAAATTTACAAGCCTAATTTTACAAGCTCAGTATAATCAAGTAAAAGTGCTTGCTTTGCTGCTATATCTAAAAAATTAGGTTTAAGCTCACCATTGAATGTAAGAGTGATGAAACTCCAGTAGTCTGTAGTTCCCCCACCAATTCTGATGTATGTTATCAATAAAGTCACCTATTAATAATAACAACGGTTGAGAAATTAATGGTACACAAACCACTAGGATATGAACGTATTTGATTCGTATAAAACTTGTAATTGTCATCAATATCTGGATAATCACGCTTTCCCTATGAACAATACAGAATCGAGTGATAAAGAAAACTTCACTATACAGCAATTGATGAATACTCACTGGGTATCCATTACGGTATTCCGCAGTATCATCAGAACTATACCTATTAATTCTAGGCATTGATAGCTTTGTGGATCTTAGGTTAAAGCCCTACAGTACATGTATTTTGTAATCTAATGATAATAAATATTCATCTTACTCGTGACCAAAATGAACTTTGCTGCTTTTCTTTTTCTTTTGATTTGACAGGAGGAGAGCTCCTACCTCCTTCATATTCCATATCACTATCATCTGCTGGTTCTGTCCCATCACTATATGCTGGTGAATCAGCACTTGGGTCTTCTTGACCTGTCTCATCCTATAAGAGCACAAATGAAGGTAAGCTTATGTACAAAATGCATGCACTTATATGTACATCAATGGAGAGCAACATTACATGCAGTGGTAATGTGCTATGCCAACTTACTATTTTCACATCTTTCTTTGCATGTCCTTTAGAGTCAAGTGAACCAGTTGGTGGATCTCTCCAAGGTCTCTTTGTATGCCCTCCTTCAGAGTCAAGTGAACCAGTTGGTGATCTATCAACTTTTGGTCTATATATACATGCATAATACATATAAAAATTATAATCTATTATCATTCTTAAATTTACTTTTTGATTTCACTTTCTATTTCTTTCCCTCCATCTTCATTTCCTTTTTTATCCTTTTCAGATTCCTTACCATTATTTCTACCTTCTTCTCCCTTAACTTCAGTTCCATCACTTGTATGAGATACTTCCATTGATTCATCCTTCTCAGTTGAATCCTCCATTCCCTTATCTTTCAATTGATTGGAATCCAATTTTGCTCCTTTACTTTCAGAATTTTCATTGTCCTTTCCTACTGTTCCTACTAATTCACTACTTCCACCATCTTGTATATTCTCTTCTTCACTTTTAGTGACAGCTTCCTCCTAAAAGAAAATGAAAGGGAAAGAATGCATGCACATAAAAGGTGGTATAGATCAAAATGGAATTACATCAAATGGAAACATGCAGTGTCAATGTGTTAAACTATCTTTACGTCAGTTATAATACAGTACATACTAGTAATGATTACCGCTTTCATATCATCTTTAAATGGTCTCTTTGCATGTCCACTTTCAGAGTCAGTTGGAACTGTTAATCTACATACACACATAAAATTTATCCTCACCATTATATATATATTTCTTGAATTTACTTTTCTGTTTCATTTTCTATTTCCTTTCCTCGATGTTTGTTTTCTGATTCGTTACCATTATCTCCACCTTCTTCTCTCTCAACTTTAGTTCCATCACTATTCCTTACATCAGATACTTCCATTGAATCATCCTTCTGAGTTGAACCCTCCAGTCCCTCCTCTTTCAGTTGATTTGAATCTAATTTTGCATCTTCAGCTCCTTCACTGGTGTCCTTTCCTACTGATTCATTGCTTCCACCATCTTGTATATTGCCTTCTTCACCTTTATTGACAGCTTCCTCCTAAGAGAAAATTAGAAATGGAAAGAGAGAAGAGAAGAAAATCAACCTACCATAACTAGATCTACACACCCCCTTTAATAACGGAGCTAGTTATTAAAATGTCCGCCCTATTTTAAGCCCCGCCTATAAGGGGGAGTCAGGTGACGAGAAGGTGTCATGGCGTCTGATAACGAGTACTGGTTGGTTGCTGTTCCAGGCGGGAAGAGCCCAGAGAGAGAATGGAATGCTATTTCAGAGAAGCTCAAACCTATTTCTTCATGTTTTAAGTTCTCTATACCAGACCTAAAGGTTGTCTATGGCCTTTTGTTCAGCCTTTTTACTCTGTTTTCTCCCTCTCTCTCTTTTCTGATTGTTACTCTTTTCTACAGATTGGTACACTCAACTCTCTTGTAGATTTATCAGACACGTTGAATAGACTTGACACATTTGTCGAAGGGTAAGTTAAAATTAAGTTAATTTAACTCTTCCCTTGCCCCGCCCTCTCTCTACTCCACTTCACTGATTATATTCCTCACAGATAGTTTTGCATGTTGCATGTATTCATGTTCAAATGTTTCCTTGTAATAATAAAGTGTGTGTTGTCCAAAGTTGAGAATAAGTGATTGCTGTATCATGTATTATGTACGCATAAGATGTGTTAATGTGCATTTTTTAGTATACAATGTATATTTATATATGTATGTAATGTGTGTGTGTGTGTATATGTGACATTGTGTATCTGAGTGAGTGAGTGAGTAATATTCAATTTTGTTCTCCTATTGTCTCACTCTATAGCTGTTACTATGCACTGATAAATGGTTCTATGTTCTCATGTTGTTACTTTAATTGATTCATTTCTATCACGTGACGTCACTCTCTCCCAAAATGCACTCTCTTCCTAAATAGGGTCGTAAGGAAAATGGCGCATTACATGTCTGATATTATTGATCCAGAAGACAGGGACAAACTCCACGAGAACCTGCTGGTTGGTCCAGGGAAGCTCCCAATGGAAGTGAGTCTAGTTTCAACGTTGTCTCATTTGTATGATCTCTCTCTTCCTCCTCTTTCTATGAGTAATAGTCAGTAGTAGAACAAGTTCCTAGTGTAATGTAGTAATCGATAGCAAAGATATCTATTGTGATAGTATTGTGTACTATTTTTAGTCTGAAGCTTGCTTAAGAATTTGGCCAAAGACCATGTGTTAGAGTACATGGTATTTTGTCAAAAATGGCTTCGAGAGAATTTTTTGTTTTTACATTTTTTCCTGATACATATACATGTACTTATGTTGCGTAGAAAGTTTGAGCTGATTCCAATCAAAATTGGATTTTTTATGAATTTTTAAAGTTGCTCCAAAATTGGGCGAAAGTCCCTGTACTATAGTAGATGGTCTCGGGCTAAATTTTGCTAAAAATGGCTAGTTGAGAATTCTTCATTTTTATAATTTTTTCTGGTGCATATACATGTTCTTATGTTGAGTAGAAAGTTTGAGCTGATTCCGATCAAAATTGGATTTTTTATAAATTTTTGAAGTTGCTTAAAAATTGGGCCAATGACCATTGGCTATATAAGTACACTTTACAAGATTTTAAAGGTATTTAGTCAAAAATAGCTAGTTGAGAATTCTCTATTTTTGTAATTTTTTCTGATACATATACGTACATGTTCTCATGTTGTGTAGAAGTTTGAGCTAATTCTGCAAAATAGGAATTTTTAAGGTGCTCTAAAGCTTTGATATCTAAATGTCATGTTATAGCATCATTACTTTTAAACCTCTTCTCTGTTCTCTACACAGAACTATGTTGCACGGTTCAGTTGGGATCAAGCCAAGTTCCCTTTGCGTCAGTCTCCTTCCGCTCTGGCTGAGAACATTAGTAAAATGGTGACACAGATTGATAATGACTTGAAACAGAAATCCTCATCTTACAACACACTCAAGGGAAACCTCCAGAATATTGAGAGGAAATCAGTGTAAGCCATACATTAAATATTAGTATAACTTTCTTTCATTCACCTCCCTCCCTCTCTCTCTCTCCCTCTCTCTCCCCCTCTCTCTCTCCCCCCCCTCTCTCCCCCCCTCTCTCTCCTTCTTTCTCCCCCTCTCTCTCTTTCTAGTGGTAATCTCATGACTCGTTCTTTGAATGGTTTAGTTGATCCTAAGTTTCTTATCACTAAATCAGAATATTTGCAGACGCTCTGTGTTGTGGTACCAAAGTAAGCAATGGGCACACATCAACACGTGACACTATTGAATAACATTTCAGTGTTTTGATACTCTTATCAGCTAATTTTATTTCCAAAAATTTTAGGATTGAAATTTTTTATGTTAATATTTTAGCCATTACAATGTACATGTACATGTACATATATGCATAATAATGTAATAATAATAATATACATGTATTATATATATAGCATACATGTAATTGTACATGTACTAATGCATGTTTATTACTCAATAGGGCAATGTATAAGGAGTGGCAGCATTCTTATGAGAGGCTATCAGATATGGTTGTACCACGATCAACTGAACTAGTTACCGAAGATCAAGAATATGGACTCTTCACTGTCACCGTTTTCAAGAAAATAGTCGACGAGTTCAAACTACAAGCGAGGGAGAAAAGGTGGGTCTGTTGGAGGAATGGTTTTAATGAGTATTGGGTGTGTTTATGGTGTTAGGTTTGCTGTGAGGGAGTATGAACATGACCCTCAAGCTCTGGAAGCTGAGAGGAAAGAGAAGGAAAAACTTGAAAGAGACCTCAAGAGACAGTTTGTAAGAGGATCCATCATAAAGCACGTCCTTATTACCTTTATGGTTCTTGTACCCAGGGCCCACTGATGAATTGGCTTAAGGTCAATTTCAGTCAAGTTTTCTCTGCTTGGCTTCATCTCAAAGCATTAAGAGTCTTCAGTGAATCAATACTGAGGTACAATTAATCAGTTATAATCATGAAATATAATAAATTCATGCACATAGCATTTATGTTAATACTTTTTGTCTCTAGGTATGGTCTAGATAGTAATTGTGTGTCTCTGGTTCTCAAGCCTCATCGTAGAAGTGCTAAATCAGTACATCAGGCACTCAATGATAAATACTATCATCTTGACAGCATGCCACTGAAGGGATCCAAGGGTGACGATGTGAGTCAATGTACCATATAGCTTGAAAATTTGGTGGAGAAAATTTTTGGCAAATTTAGCAAATTGAGGTCCATTCGCCAAATTTTTAGTCTCCAATTTGATAGGATTCCATAGGAGCATACACCGAGAAACCTCCAAACCTCTTTTAAAGTCGATTTGCCAAATTTTAGCACTCCAAATTTTGTAGCCATATGGTAATTAAAAGTGAGACATTAAATATTATTTATTATAATATGTAAAGAATAGTTGTTGTTATTGTATACTGTAGCCATAACTTTGTGGAGTCTAGCTAGGTTTAACCATACACATGTACATGTATACCACTCCTCCATCCATTAGGTTACATCATTACATGTAATTGTGTAGAAGTGGTTTAAAAGCAATCCATTTGAAGTGCCAGTCCATTTATAACTCTATTAACTAAGTTGATAGATTAACTATATCTTGTTTCTTTCTTCTTTTCCACTTTCTTATACTCTATACGATAGCACATTGACATACCTGGTCTAGGCCTCAACCAAGCTGAGTATTATCCTTATGTTTTCTTCAAAATGAACCTTAACGTCTTAGAGAAATAGAGTGAGGGGGAACATAGATCGATCATCATCCCTTTATTATTATTATTATTATTGTTATTATTTGTTATTATTATCATTATTATTAATTTTTGATGTTTTGTGCTGTTTTTTTCCATAGTTTGTCATTATAGCCCAATAGTGTTGTACTTATGTGTTTGTTCTGTGTGTTGCAACTTTATAAATGTATTATGAACTTGAAAGCAATAACAAAGCAGATAGCAAAACAGTTCAAAGTTTTTGTGATATCGGCAATGAATATAAGATAATGACATTTATCGTGTCACCCGTTGCATATATTAGTATTATGTTTACATTACATTATTCGATGTACTGCTACGTATGTACATGTATGTACATGTATTAGCTCTTATGGATTGTAAAGGGAATGATAGTATCTGTCTTTTTTACCAAATATAGGCATGGTCTTATATCATATTAGTTTTTATAGATACTATAAAAGTGTGGGCTTTTGTATACACTAAATCAGTAAATCACTTCTCACGTCACATGGTGTGGATAGCTGGCTACAGTCTCAGTATTCTTCTACTGTCTTCTATATAAAAGCATAGATTTATAGGCTATTAGGCTGTAGGCTCTCCCTTGCTTGAGTAGGAGGATGGCTATCATGAAGTATTTCTTTGTCTTTTTATTCCTCAAAATTTCTCTTGGGGAGCTCAGTACCTCCCCTTCTTCCTCTTATCCAGTTGGTGATATTCGTAATTGTCCAACTGAACAGATAGTTATTCCTGGGTCACCTCTACTAAGAATGGATGCAATGCCTGGCCTTGGATTTGATAACCTTCGCAACAGGGAGCTGGGTCAGGTGTACAGTAGGAATTACACCAGCTGTCAAGTCTCCAATGATGGCCAATACCTTCTTCCTGACAATATCTATTTGATTCCTGTCCTTAACAGTGAAGTTGACTTCTTTGCCAATGTCTATGATCATTATGATGACTGGAAGTCAACCACAAGCTTCTCCATCAATGCAGAGCTCAAGATTCGTTGGGCCAACATCAATGGGAAGTTCTCAGCCGAGTATCAGGACACAAAGACTAAAATGATTGATACTAACTCGAGAGCTGTTAGGATTGGACTCAGACACCATCTTTACTCAGTCCATGTTAATCCTGATAGCCAGCTCCATCCTTCATTTAAGTCCAGATTAATGGATCTTGCTGCTCACATACAAAATAACAATACTGAAATGGCTCATTATCTCTCTGATCTGATAATAAGGGATTATGGGACTCATGTTGTGACTAGTGTAGAAGCAGGTGGTGCTCTCTATCAGACAACGTTTGTCTCTCGGGATTTCATGAACAACTCTGACTCGTCACAGTTGAAAATGTCTGCCTCAGCCAGTTTCAGTTTCCTTTCCATCTTTCATCTCAGCGTGAGTGCTCATTACACTCGTACTGATACTGACATCAATGGGTTCACTAATAACACTCGTCATCAAAAGACGTCAACTCACGGTGGGCCTCCTTTTAAACTTAGCAACTTCTCTTATGCTGACTGGGAGAATGGACTAAAGAACAACCTCATACCCATTGATAAACATGGCGATCCTTTATTCACTGCAATAACGGCCACTAATATACCAGAACTACCTGATATGCTAGTAATGGAGACTGCAGACTATGTGTACCAGGCAATCAGTAGATACTACAAGGTTAATACACATGAGGGCTGCACTGATTTCATGTCACCAAACTTTAATTTCCGTGCTAATGTGAATGATAACTCGTGCAAGAAGAATCGTCAGAATTACACGTTTGGTGGTATATACCAGGAGTGTGTTAACAGGGAGCTGGGCTATGATGTCTGTGGGTCTTATGGATCAGCTCAAACTAATCCACTGACTTCTGACTACTCTTGTCCCTCTGGTTATCAGAAAGTCTTGTTACATTCTGGAACACTAAGCAAGGTAATGCCAATGACAGTTTATCATCATCATTGTGGCTTTTGGTCCTGCCACACATCCAGCAGTCAGGTCAATGTTGTGAGATATTCAAATTATTATGCTTACTGGTGCTATTATCCACCTGGTGAGACAGTCCCTCCTGACTCTGGCTACATGTTTGGTGGTGTTTATTCTGGGAAGCACACTAACGCAGTCACTGGAACTAGCACCTGCCCTCCTTTCTTCTCTCCTCTTCATTTCGGGCAGGACATTCAAGTGTGTGTCAGCAGTGATATTCAGGGTATGTCTTATGCTCTTCCATTCGGCGGTTTCCACAGTTGCAGCTCTGGGAATCCTCTTTCTCTCTCTCCTGCCCAGTATGAAAAGGGTTCCTCATTCCCTCTACAGTGTCCTGAGCGATATAACCAGTTCCTAGTAACTGTTGATGAAGGCTGCATTGTCAACTACTGCTCAAATGTTGACTTTATTCTCAAGTATACCTCCCAGCCCCCAATACTGCCACCTTATAAGATCAGGCCACCAATGACTGTCAATCAGTCCGAGTCCATGATCATTGTTGGTCCTTATGGTACAGTGTGGACCAAAGGTGATGATGGTACATGGTCTAAACACAAAGCTGGTGATATGATCAATGATAATGAGTATATATGGACATACACTTCTGAGCCGCACAATGTGACTGATGATAATGGAACAGTAATAGGCTCTACTTATGATGGCTCTATGCGTACTCCCAGTTTTACTGGTGCTGAGGTAGCTGGTTTTGTTATAGGATCAGTTTTCTCTACCGCACTGTGTATTGCATTTATTGCTGCTGTTGGTTGTGGTGTTAAAAAGTATAAGAAGAAGCGTATAGCCAGGAAGGAGGCAGTGCTCTACTTGGATAAGTCTGAAACCGGAGAGAATGAGACAGCTGTCCTGGTCCAGAAAATACAAGATTGAATATTGAACTATTAAATTGTGTGCTTTATATTTTCGCTGCTTGTTATGTGCTTTCACTATTAGTGGTTGTTTTTGCATTTAAAAAAAGATACAATATAATCTAAAAAAGAATTGAGGACAGATAGAATCGTCCCAATTGAGTTCAAAGTGAAGAGATTAGTGTCTGTGGCTATAGACTGTCATAATGACATCATTTGATATTTCATGCATGCATGCACCTTTAGGTGCTGATGTATGTATAATATATCAAGTGATGTCATAGAAGTGCTGATGTATGCATGAAAATATCAAATTCATTATTTTGTTGTTATTCATTGTAGAGGTAGTTGGGTGATGACATTGTGATGAGTTAGCCTAATGTAAAAAGTATATAAGCAGCTTAGCTATTCACTGTACTCTTATCCTTATTTCTGCTCATCTTCATTATCACTAGCAACCCAATTATGAGGGGCTTTGTGGTTGCAATTATTTTTTATTGATTTTTGTCCAGCATATTCATGGGGAATCTTCTTATCCAGCTGGTGATATTCGTAATTGTCCAACCGAACAGATAGTTAATCCTGGGTCTCCTCTACTAAGAATGGATGCAATGCCTGGCCTTGGATTTGATAACCTTCGTAATATTGAACTGGGTCAGGTATACAGTAGGAATTACTCCAGTTGTCAAATCTCTAATGATGGCCGTTACCTCCTGCCTGATAATATCAATTTGATTCCTGTTCTTAAGAGTGAAATCGATACATCTGCCAAGGTTTTTCGACATTATAATGAATACACATCTTCATCAAGCTACTCCATTAATGTTGAAGCTAGTGCAAGTTATGGCTGTGCACATGCTAGTGGCAAATTCTCAATGGAGCACCAGGATACAAAAAAGAAAATGGCCAGCTCAAAATCAAGTTCAGTTAGAATTGGACTCAGGCACCATCTTTATTCAGTTCACGTTAATCCTGATAGCCAGTTGCATCCTTCCTTTAAGTCCAGATTGATGGATCTTGCTGCTCACATTCAAAACAATGACACTCAAATGGCTCATTATCTCTCTGATCTGATAGTAAGGGATTACGGGACTCATGTTGTGACGAGTGTTGAAACAGGTGGTGCTCTCTATCAGACTAGCTTTGTTTCACAAGACTCTACTCAAGAAGGTGACACTTCAGGACATTCTGTTGATATTAGTGCTTCAGTTGGAGCAACATTCATAGCCACTTTCTCCATAAGCACTAATATTGGTTGGTCTAAATCCGATTCTAATGAGCAAAGCAATAGTAAAACTAAACATCATGTTCGTACATCAACTCATGGTGGTCCTCCTTTTAAAATGGAAAATTTCAGCTATACTGACTGGCAAAATGGACTAATGAATAATCTTGTGAACTATCGATCGTCGTGGTCAGCCCCTCTCATTTGCTATGACTACTGCAAATTTACCTGAACTACCTGACATGCTACTAACTAAAACTTCAGATTACATTTATAAATCTATCGAAAGATACTACAAAACAAACACTATTAAAGGATGCACTGATATGAACTCCAAAAATTTCAACTTTCATGCTAATTTAGAAGACAGTTCGTGTAAAAAAGACAGACAAAATTACACCTTTGGAGGGATTTATCAAACCTGTGAGGACCATAATAACAATGAGATTTGCAACGATTATGGAGCTAGTCAAAAAAATCCATTGACATCAGATTATTCATGTCCTGATGGATATGAGAGTATCCTACTTCACACTGGTACCTTAAGCAAAATGGTACAAGTTACTTATTATTACCAAAAAAAGCACTGTAAGTTACACATATTTGACTGTAAGATGCAACCTGCAAGTAGCCAACGTTCAGAGATGCGCTACTCTACTTATAATGCTTACTGGTGCTATGCTCCTCCTGGTAAGCAAGAAAGTGCTGATTCAGGATACATGTTTGGTGGTCTATACACCAGTAAAACTCCCAATCCAGTCACCCGTACCACCACTTGTCCACCTTTTTATAATACTCTCCATTTTGGCGAAGATATCAAAGTTTGTGTAAGCACTGATGATCAGGCAAAGGACTATGCAATACCATTTGGTGGTTTCCATAGCTGCAAGTCTGGAAATCCACTGGCCATTACACCAGACATGTATCAGAAATTAGCATCGAACAATCTATTGGAATATGGTTCATCTTTTCCTACGGAGTGCTCTCACCATTACAATCAATTTTTGATAACAATCGATGAAGGCTGCGTTGTGAACTATTGCTCCCAGTTTCAGGACATCATACAGTTTTCACCAAGGCCTCCACTAGTACCACCATATAAAATGAAGCCCCCAATGACAGTCAATAAAACAGAATCGTTGGTTATCTTTGGCCCTTATGGTAAAATATGGGTTAAAAACGACGATGGTAGTTGGTTTGAGTATAAAAATGACAGTGTCAGTGGGTCTGATTATCTCCAATCTTTATTTGTCAAGGAAGATGACATAGCTATACCAACTGAATTACCTACTACATCCAGTCCAAGCCACACCTATTATACTGGTGGTGAGGTAGCTGGAATCGTTATTGGATCATTTTTCTCTACTGCACTGTGCATTGCATTTATTGCTGCTGTTGGTTGTGGTGTTAAAAAGTATAAGAAGAAGCGTATAGCCAGGAAGGAGGCAGGGTGCTACTTGGATAAATCTGAAACTGGAGAGAATGAGACAACTCCCCTGATCCAAAAAGACTAGTCTATTGCCCGGTGTTCTTTAATATTTTTTGCTACTTGTTTGTTTGCTGAATTTTTAGTCTAGATTTGCCGTTTCATTTTTTATGCTTTTTTATTTTTGCTGCCTGCTTTTGTTTTCATTCCTATAAATTTAATCTTGAGCTTTAATAATTACACAGCCGGTAGCCTTTTAAGTTAGTTTTTCATTGATCATGTGATCACTCATAAATAAGAAGTTGCAAAACCAGTGCTGTATCCTGAATTGAAGCCTTTAGCCTCCTACAATAGGCAAATTTCCCAGAAAAATAAATAAGTTTTCCAGCAAATTTTCCCGTGTACAGGAGTCCACATTGTCTGAAGAGGTCCCGCTGGGACGGTCAGTGTTGCCTGTGCTTCTTTGCATTCTTTCTCAGAGCAGAAAGAACAGCAACAACTGAGCCAATGACTAGCCCTACCGTAATATAGTAAAGATATCAATTGTAATACTATTTTGTCTGAAAATGGCTCAAGAATCTGGCTAATGACCATAGGCTATAGTACAGGGTATTTTTTCAAAAATGGCTTTGAAAGAATTTTTCATTTTTATAATACATTATATGTACTTAGGTTGCATAGAAAGTATTCACTCTCCTCCCTCCATCTCTCTCTCCTTCCCTCCCTCCCTCCTTCCCTCCCTCTCCCTCTCTCTCTTTCATGTGGTAATCTAATGACTCATTCTTTGAATGGTTTAGTTGATCCTAAGTATCTTATCACTAAATCAGAATATTTGCAGACGCTCTGTGTTGTGGTACCAAAGTAAGCAATGGGTGCACATCAACACGTGACACTATTGGATAACATTTCAGTGTTTTGATACTCTTATCAGCTAATTTTATTTCCAAAAATTTTAGGATTGAAATTATTTTATGTTAATATTTTATCCATTATAATGTACATATACTTATACATAATAATAATATACAATATGCATATAATATACATGTACATGTACACAACTCCTCCAACCACTAGGATAATTCTGTACAAGTGGTTTAAAGAAATGCTTTGTAGTGCTAGTCGATTTATAACACTATTTACTAAGTCAATAGATTAACTATATCTTGTTTCTTTCTTCTTTTCCACTTTCTTATACTCTATACGATAGCACATTGACATACCTGGTCTAGGCCTCAACCAAGCTGAGTATTATCCTTATGTTTTCTTCAAAATGAACCTTAACGTCTTAGAGAAATAGAGTGAGGGGGAACATAGATCGATCATCATCCCTTTATTATTATTATAATTGTTATTATTTGTTATTATTATCATTATTATTAATTTTTGATGTTTTGTGCTGTTTTTTTCCATAGTTTGTCATTATAGCCCAATAGTGTTGTACTTATGTGTTTGTTCTGTGTGTTGCAACTTTATAAATGTATTATGAACTTGAAAGCAATAACAAAGCCGATAGCAAAACAGTT